GTTCCCAAACCACGATTGAAACCTTTGTTAAGGGTTGCACCTACACACACAAAAAATAAAAATAGTAGTAACATGGAATTTGGTTATGCGCATGCGTGCTGCATGCATGAGAATAGAATAGTACGTAACAAGTAAGGGCGTACCTATGCTGAATTCAAAAACAACGACAACAGTGAGAATAGCCCAAATAGAGTACTTGCTGACTTGTTGTTCTTTAATGTAAATGAAAAGTGAAACAATAGCCAAGGATAATCCAGCTTTCATAGCGAAGATGACTTTACGTGGATCGCTGCGGCCCATATGGTGGAGTTTATGGATGAACTCAAGCGAGGCATTGCGAACGTTGAGGAAGCGTTGAGAAAGGACGTCGAGATTGAAAGCATGTTTGTAAGAGGGTTGTTGAGGAGGACCATTGAAGGAGAATTCATCGGAATATTCTTTTTTAGCTAGGAGTCTTTCTTTGCCTCTTTCAAGGAAACTGTGGCGGAATGAACCAGGTGCCGGCTGCATTCTGTATGATGGTGATGATGATGGAGCGGAGTACATTTTTGGATGGATGGAAAAATGAAGGGAAGAGAGAATGAAGGGAGTGTTGTATTGGGGGAGTGCTCCATAAGACCCGCCTTTCCTTCGCTATTGTCTTTTGAACTTTTCTTCAACCTATATAATATATTTTTGGCAACCTATAACTCCTCTTAATGTTTTGTTCAAAATAACTTCACTATTTATCTATAATGATCTTATAAGACTATTGTGATGGTGTAATATTTTAGATAACTTTTATGGTCTCTTATAATAAGAGAGACATATGTTTATGTGGTATAATAATAATAATAATAATAATAATAATAATAATAATAATAATAAATAATAATAATAATAATAATAATAATAATAATAATAATAATAATAATAATAATAATAATAATAATAATAATAATAATAATAATAATAATAATAATAATAATAATAATAATAATAATAATAATAATAATAATAATAATAATAATAATAATAATAATAATAATAATAATAATAATAATAATAATAATAATAATAATAATAATAATAATAATAATAATAATAATAATAATAATAATAATAATAATAATAATAATAATAATAATAATAATAATAATAATAATAATAATAATAATAATAATAATAATAATAATAATAATAATAATAATAATAATAATAATAATAATAATAATAATAATAATAATAATAATAATAATAATAATAATAATAATAATAATAATAATAATAATAATAATAATAATAATAATAATAATAATAATAATAATAATAATAATAATAATAATAATAATAATAATAATAATTAATAATAATAATAATAATAATAATAATAATAATAATAATAATAATAATAATAATAATAATAATAATAATAATAATAATAATAATAATAATAATAATAATAATAATAATAATAATAATAATAATAATAATAATAATAATAATAATAATAATAATAATAATAATAATAATAATAATAATAATAATAATAATAATAATAATAATAATAATAATAATAATAATAATAATAATAATAATAATAATAATAATAATAATAATAATAATAATAATAATAATAATAATAATAATAATAATAATAATAATAATAATAATAATAATAATAATAATAATAATAATAATAATAATAATAATAATAATAATAATAATAATAATAATAATAATAATAATAATAATAATAATAATAATAATAATAATAATAATAATAATAATAATAATAATAATAATAATAATAATAATAATAATAATAATAATAATAATAATAATAATAATAATAATAATAATAATAATAATAATAATAATAATAATAATAATAATAATAATATATTTGTGAAAATCCCGCCTAGGACGAGGAGGGAATCGGGATTCATGGCCGCCTGTAACAAGCGACACCACTCTAGTGACGAAGTGTTTCTATCCTTCGTGATTAAGGGCAACCTCACCCCTCTTTCTCTCTTTTCGCCTAGCCATGGCAAACATGAGAAAAAATGTGCCTCATTCAGAGAGAAGTCAGAGTCAAGAGACTAATCCATGTATCCACTACTATAAATAATATTTTCATGACGAAGCTTATGTAACGCCCCAGTATTTAATTATTTATTTAATTAAATATTTTGAATATTTTTTTGTTAATTCAAATTTTCGTCATCGAAGTCGAAATTATTTTATTAAGTTGGAATAATAATTAATTGGATTTAATTTGGTGGAATTAAGTTTATGTATTATTTTTATTATTAAGCTTAAATATGATAATGGATTTATGTTATGGCGTCAAGAAGTAAAAGTGGGGTGTAGCATTTAGGCCCAATTGGATTTATTTGGATTAATATAATAATATATTTTATTAGAAAATAAGAAAAAAGAAGAGAGTTAGTGTTATCGGAAAGAGAAGAGAAAGAGGAATAGGGTTTTGAGTGGAGAAGAAGAAGAAGAAAGGTTTGGAGCTATGGCAACAGCAAGGTGCAATTGGAAATTATAAAGAACCGTCAATCCAAGGTAAGGATGGAGTTCTGACTCTATAATAAGGTGTATGATTAATAGTATGTGAATTTGGGTTATAAAAATTATTCTTAGTTGTGTTTGAAATTGGTATATTGATGAAATTGAGAGATGATTTAGGACTCAATATAATTAGATTAGATATACATATATTTAAGTGCCTTAGTATTTTCTTTGCAAAATTCTATAGCCTGCTATTGTAGCGTGAGATGAAGTAACAATTAGAGGCACTTGTTTTGCTTACTGTAACGATAACTGAAGTAGTATTTAATGGCTTGCGTACTGTAGCGACATTATGAAGTTGTATTTAGAGACAATTAATTGGCATACAGTAGCACAAGAATGAAGTAGCAATTAAAGGTAATTGTTTTGCAATACTGTAGCGATGAAATGAATTAGTACTTAAAGGCATTTGACTTGCAATACAATAGCGTAAGATGAAGTAGCAATTAAAGGCATTTGGATTGCTTACTGTAGCGTAAGAATGAATCAGTGTTTAGGATAAATGCTTGCATACTGTAGTGCAAGAATGAAGTAGTGTTTAGGATATATGCTTGCTACTGTAGCGCTAAATGAAATGGTATTTAGGAGAATTAATTGGCATACTGTAGCGATATTGTGAAGTAGCGCTTAGAAGTAATGCTTGCTACTGTAGCGCAAGGAATAAAGTAGTATTTAGGAGGAATGCTTGCTACTGTAGCGCATAGAATGGAGTAGCATTTGGAGTATTAACTTGCTTGCTGTAACGATAATTGTAAAGTAGTATTTAGAAGCAATTGCTTGCTACTGTAGCGAATTCATGGAGTAGTATTTAGAAGCAATTGGTTGCTTACTGTAGTGATATAAGATGAAGTAGTATTTAAAGGCAATTGGTTGCTTACTGTAGCGAATTCATGAAGTAGCAATCAGAAGCAATTGCTAGCATACTGTAGCGCATTATATGTAGTAACACTTAGAGATGATTGTTAGCATAAATACTGTGGCCACTGTACTCTGATACAAATAATAAATTGATATAGAATAAATAATAGATATACTGTAGCTACTACGTTCCGGTTTACAGTACAAAATATTTAATAATAAGGATTTAATATCTTTAATAAATAATTTTGTAGGATTTATAAAGTAGAAATAATAGAATTTTTGGCCGATAATTAATTAACCGATTTTAGCCAAAATAGTCTGAATAATTATGCGGTTTATTGTAGTAATTTTTGGTTGATCTGTTGGGTGGCATTTTTGTTGAAAAATGTGAATTTACAGGTGATTTCATTGCCTCTATTTATGGGCAAAATATTAAGTTGCAGGCTTATGGCCAATGTTGAATTAAGTTGAATTAATGTTGTTGTTGTTGTTATTACGTTCATGTCGTTAATGCATACATAGCATATCATGTTAGAGCTGATGCTCGTCAAGTTGGCCTGGATTGGCAAATATAAAGTTGAAGGCTTATGCCTTGTTGATGCCTCTATTTATTGGCAGATTTCTAAGTTGAGAGTTCTGCTCCATTGGTACCACATGCATGTGCATAAAAACGAGTTGCATTTCATGTTGTATTTCTGAGTTGTCGCGTGGATGTATTAATTATGTTAAATGTTAATAAAAAGCTGTGAAGTGGTGAACTGTATGATCTAATACTAATATATTATTTATTGTATATCCGATTATATAGTTTAATATTTCACCCCTTATGTTTGAATATTGTCCTCTGTTGGTAACGTGTAGGTAATTAAGAAGGTTAGCTGTTACCCTCGTTAGTTCGAGTCGGTGTTGTCGCTCTGATACGTAGCACTCAGGGGGATGAACGCATGTTTTCTTTATTATTGATTTTCATTATGTTGCTGAATTTTTAAGTTGTTTTCATTAAAAGACTTGTTGTCTTAGAATTGTTTCGAGTTGGATAAGATGTTATGGTGTTTTCAGTTGAATTTTGTGAATCCGTTGCGTAGTAATGAAAGTTGTTTTTTATTTTTAAAGACTAAGAAGGTTGTTATCGGTTCATCCGAAATTCATGTGTTATGTATTTGAACTATAGCCGATTGAATGTCGTAGTTTTAAGTTGAAAGTGTAGCATTCCATTTGTTTGTTGAAAATTTTTATAACTTTGATTTTATTTAACTCGTTGGGTAGAAATGGGGTGTCACATTAGTGGTATCAGAGCAAGTTGATCCATCCGGTCAAGTTTTCGAGTCGTAGTTTTGGTCTAA